AAAGATAAGAAAAAGAACTATTATAACAGCTCTTCCTCCAAGTCATCTGAAAAAGGTCCCATGCAACAGTCTCAGAATCAGCAATTCCCAGTGGCTAAAGACCAGTGTCTCCACTGCAAGAAGACGGGACATTATAAAAAGAACTGTCCCGATTTCCTAAAGATGATAATGAAAAATAAAGGTGAGAACATCATTACATTTGTAAATGAATCCTTGTATATAAAGTTTTCAAAATCTACTTGGTGGATTGATTCAGGTGCAACTATTCATGTTGCTAATTCATTACAGGGATTCCGTTCGATGAGAACTTTGCAAAGAAGCGAAAGTTTCATTAAAGTCGCAAATGGAGTACAAGCAGATGTTGAGGCCGTTGGAGATCTTCCTCTAGAGCTTCCAGATGGCTTCATACTTTTTCTTAGAGATGTTCTTTATGTACCTTCCTTGCAAAGAAACTTGATTAGTGTATCAAAGTTGGACCATGATGGTTATGATTGCCATTTTGGAAATGGCAAATGTCGATATTGTTTAATAATAATGTGTTGGTCTTGCCTTCCGACAAGACGAGCTTTATTTGTTATCACTTCGTGAAAATGTGAATTCCGTATGTGATGTGAATGAAAATGTATCCTCATCGAACAATGGAAACAGAAAACGAAAGCGAGCTCACGATGCGTTGTCGAAATTATGGCACTGTCGTTTAGGCCATATTTCGAGGGGGAGAATAGAAAGACTAGTTAAGAATAATATTCTTCCTTCATTAGAGCTCTCAGAGTTAGAACAATGTAGAGATTGCATAAAAGGAAAGTATGTAAAGAAAATTAAGAAAGATGCCAAACGAAGCGCAGGAATTCTCTGATTATTCACACGTACATATGTGGTCCTTTTCCGTGAAAAGTGTGGATGGTTATGATTCATTCATAACATTCATGACGATTACTCTCGGTTTGGCTACATTTATCCAATTAAAGAAAGAACATAAGCGTTGGATAAATTCAAAATATTTAAAGCAGAAGTTGAAAATCAGCATGATTTAAAGATTAAGATAGTCAGGTCTGACCGTGGGGGAGAGTACTACGGTCGACATACCCCATACGGACAAGTTCCTGGACCTTTTGCAAGGTTCTTACAGGAGAATGGTATAGTCGCCCAGTATTCAACACCGGGTGAACCTCAGCAGAATGGAGTAGCTGAAAGGCGTAACCGTACCCTGATGGATATGGTGCGTAGTATGATAAGTTACTCCACTTTACCGATTAGTCTATGGATGGAGGCGTTAAAAACCGCCATTCATATTCTCAATAGAGTACCAAGTAAGTTGGTGCCCAAAACACCGTATGAGTTGTGGACAGAAAGAGTACCCTCACTTAACCACTTGCGTGTGTGGGGGATCCCTGCTGAGGCTAAAGTTTTTAACCCAAACATTGGGAAGCTAGATCCCAAAATAGTGAGTTGCCATTTCATTGGCTACCCAGAAAAGTCAAAAGGTTTTCGTTTCTACTGTCCTAACAGACATACAAAGTTTGTGGAAACGAGACTCGCTGTCTTCCTAGAGGATGAAATGATTAGGGGGAGCATGGTAGCTCGAGAAATTGACCTTGAAGAGAAGCGGGTGTATGCATCCACTCCGATCATTCATGAGCCATTTTTCTCACTACCTGCTGTTGCTACACCGACAGTACAAGACACTGTGGTGCCAGCACCTATTGTTATCCCGCCTGTGGCAACAATGAATGAAGATGAGGACCCTGTTCCTTAGGATCCTATAGAATCTATTGCCACACATGAGGGGGAGCAACAACAGCCTCAAACAGAAAATGTGCCAATTGAGGAGGTCCCTAGAAGGTCTCAAAGAGTTAGAAAATCAGCTATTCCTGCTGATTATGAGGTGTACAATACTGAAGAATTTCAAATGGAGGATGATCCCACCTCATTTGAAGAAGCCATGAAAAGTGATCATTCATCAAAGTGGCTTGAGGCCATGGAAGATGAGATGAGATCAATGAATGCAAATAAAGTTTGGGATTTGGAGATAATTCCTAAAGGAGCCAAAACAGTAGGCTGTAAATGGGTCTACAAAACAAAACTTGACTCTCAAGGGAATATAGAAAGATATAAAGCCCGACTTGTGGCAAAAGGCTTTACACAAAGAGAAGGGATTGATTATAATGAGACTTTTTCTCCAGTCTCATGTAAGGATTCCTTCAGAATCATAATGGCATTAGTGGCACATTACGATTTGGAATTACAACAGATGGATGTAAAGACGACATTTCTCAACGGAGACTTAGAGGAAAATGTTTACATGGCACAACCGAAAGGTTTTGTCATGGAAGGAAAAGAACGTTTGGGATGCCGCCTAAAGAAATCTATTTATGGATTAAAACAAGCTTCAAGACAGTGGTACTTGAAGTTTGATCAGACAATAAAGAATTTTGGGTTTAAAGATAATGTTGAGGACAATTGTGTCTACGCAAAGTTTAAGAATGGGAAGTTTATCTTCCTTGTCCTGTATGTGGATGATATCTTACTTGCTAGTAGTGATGTCTGTCTACTACTGGAGACAAAGAAGTTTTTGTCCTCAAAATTTGATATGAAAGATCTTGGTGAAGCTTCGTTCGTTCTAGGGATCGAGATTCACCGAGATAGAAGTAAAGGGGTATTAGGACTGTCACAAAAGGCATACATAGAAAAAGTCTTAAAGAAATTCAGTATGCACAAATGTAGTCCCTCACCTGCTCCTATAGTCAAGGGCAACAGATATGGGGATTTTCAATGCCCTAGGAACCAATATGAGATCGATCAAATGAAAGTGGTTCCATATGCTTCAAATTGTCGGAAGCTTGCAATATGCTCAAGTGTACGCTGGCGTCTCGACTTGGCATTTGTTACCGAAGTTACTTGGCGATTCCGAGCAATCACGGAATAGAACACCGGAAATTGGTAAAGAAAGTCTTGTGTTATTTGCAAGGAACGAAAGGCCTCATGATGACATATAGAAGATCGATTCACTCCATATAGTGGGATATTCAGATTCGATTATCTGCGGAGATAATAGAAAATCCACGTCTGGATATGTGTTCACTCGCAGGGGAGCTATTTCATGGAAAAGCTCAAAGCAAACCGTCACTACATCGTCCACAATGTATACCGAGTTTGTAGCGTGTTATGAGGCAACGGGGCAGGTGAACTGGCTAAAGAAGTTCATACCCGGTTTGAAGGTGGTTGACGACATCAATAGACCACTGAAGTTATACTGCGATAATAATCCAGCAGTACAGTATGCTCACAACAATAGGTCAAGTGGTGCTGCCAAACACATTGACATAAAGTATTATGTTGTGAAGGATAAAGTCCGGGATCAAATGATAAGCCTTGAGCATATAAGTACCGAAAAGATGCTCGCGGATCCGCTTACAAAAGGCTTACCACCCAACGTGTTCAGAGAACATGTAGCCGGCATGAGTTTAAGGGAAAGCCTATGATTCCTAGACTATAAAGGGCCCAAAAGTTAAAGTAACTATTTCAGATCAGAGACGTGCATTGTAGCTGTTAAATCTATCGGCGATTGACCGTGACGATGAGACATGCTCTATGCATCATCTGTGAAGAAATGAGTAAGGATAAAATGATTGAAGTTTAAAGTTTAAAGATAAAAGTAATGGTGAGATCAAGGGGGAGAATGTTAGATTGATCTCCTAACCAATAAGCCCAACGGTCTATTGGGCCTTGGTCACGCGCCCTGATCGGGGGCGCCCAACCCTACATGGTTGGTGGGCCCCCGTCGCACTGCGCTATATAAAGAGGTGGGGGCCGGCGGCTCAAAGCACGAGGTTCGCCGTGAGCCGCAAACCCCACCGACAAACCCTAATTCCGATCTCGAAGAGGGTGCATAGCCAGCGACGGGAAGCCGCCACCGTCATCACCGTCATCCCGTCGCCACTGCACTGCATCACCGTCTCCACTGCGTCGCCTCTCTTCACCGACCGTCGTTGCCCGTGCGCAGCCTACATCGACGAACCTGATGGAGGCTACTGGATCCTCCAACCCTGCGGTCTCAGGTTCGGTACCCTTCCCTTTCTCTCCCTGTCTCTCTGTAGACCGTTCTACATGTCCTAGGATCTACCGTTTTACTTGTTATACCGAATAGAACAGTCAAAGGCTAGATCTATGATCCTACAGTTTTAACACATGTTTCATTCTATTTTCATGTTGGTTGTTACCTCCACTTTTATTTATCCTTGTGTTTCACTTTTATTTATCCTTGTGTTTCGAAGGACTGTTTTGTATGTTTGTTCGAAATTATCGGTTGAAGCAAGGAAAAAGTGTTGGTCTGTGAATCAATAGGGATACTGGTGTGCTATATCTTCCGGGATCAGGCTGCAGCATATAACGTCGACTGGATCAGGGATAATCTACCGTATTTGCTGATTCAGATGCACTATATATATTAATAAAAAACTTGGAAACCCTTGATTGCCAGTGTTGTTCCAGCCCTTACCGGGCAGCTCCAGTCCTTGGCAAGGGCGCACACTAATCACTAGTGTCTATATACCTCAAAAGTTCCATAGGTGTTAATAGATATCACTGTAGTTTTTTTTATAACATACTAGCACTTATTACCCCCTAACCCACTAAATTTATCCTTTTTATAAAATGCCTAGTGTTCTTCGTCGGGCTAATCTGTTATATGCTATAGCTATTAATCAAGCCTGTCGCTTTATAGAGTTTTTTTCTTAGATTAGGCTCAAACTAACATTGGGGCTTGGCCCAATTTAATCATCAACAACTGCAAATCCCAGTTCACCATATATATACTCAAAAAAAATACGGAGCAGGCATTATTGACTTTATTTATGATTCCAGCCAATGGAACATACTTATGGATTCGCGCATACATTGACTTTGGAGGAATTCTGCCAAGCAAGGACTCATGGGGAAGAGCTTATTAACAAGTACTGTACTTATGTCACCGGCATCATGGGGAAGAGCTGCCCGACGCTTCAGTAGTCGGCCACCAGCGAGAACACGGAGTGGTTCATGTGGTAGTTGTAGATGGTGTTGGCGTCGCTGGTGACCCTCTTGCACATCTTCTTGGCCGGCTTGTACATCTCGATGCCCTGCTTTTGGAGCTCGGTGGCGTGCGAGTACAAGTCCGCGTCGCTGCCACCATAGTGACCCGCCATCCTCGGCTGCTTCGAAGAGAGGTCCAGGATCTTGCTCAGCAGCTGGTCGCAGGTCTCGTCCTCTGGCGGCTCCGGGATCGCCGACAACGCCTCGAGGATGATCATGGAGTGGTGCGTTATCATGGCGCGCGTTGTCGTCGCACTTGAGCCGCGCCGCCAGCACGACGCTGGACGCGTACTCCTCCAGCCCGTACGCCACGTCGCCACCGACATGTCGGAGGCGCCCGACCGGGTCCCGTCGTAGTCCACCCCGAGCCCGCCGCCGCAGTCCAGCATGGTCATCGGCGCGCCGTACTTGTTCACCAGGTTGCAGTAGATGCCGGCGGCCTCGCTGACCGCCTTGTACACCATCTCCGTCTTCGGGATCATGGAGCCGATGTGGAAGTGGAGCATCGTGAGCTAGTGCAGCTTGCCCATCTTCTTGAGCCTCTCGGCCACGCCGTAGATCTTCTCCTCCAGCAGGCCGAACTTGCCGCGCTTGTCGGCCGTCGACCCGAAGTGGCCAGGTATCTTGGTGAGAAGCTTGGCCCGAATGCCGATGACCTGGCTCGATACCCAGCTTGGCGCTCTGCTCGACGACGATGTCGAGCTCCTCCTCCATCTCCATCACGAGGCCCATGGCGCTCTGCAGTTGACGTCATGGTTTCCTTTTTCGGCCAAAATCTCCTGATATTTCTGATATATCATTTTTATCCGTAGGTGCTGATAAAAAAATATCTATCTTTTTCGTACAAATTTTGTTTAAATTTATTTAAATTCACTTAAATTCAAATTAAATTTTATTTGAATTTGATCCGATATTTTCGATATATCCTGTTTATCCTTTTTATCTGTGACCCCGATAAATTTTAATTTCGAAAATGAAAACCTTGGTTGAGGCCTATGGCGCGCACCGACAGCACAAGCGAGATGAAATCTGCATCCTTGTAGCCGTTGCACACCAAGTAGGCTCCTGGTTTGGCCTTGGTGAGGCAGCCCATGGCGATGAGCAGTTCCGGCTTGGAGGCTGCCTCGACCCCGCTCTCGTCGTAGCCGAACCTGACGAGGTCCTGGATGATGTCCCTGTTCTGGTTCACCTTCATCGGGTACACGCCCTGGTACCTGTTCTTGTACCCGGTGCTGTGGACGGCGTCCTTGAACGCGGCGTGGAGAGAGTCGAGGCGGACCTTGATCACATCGGGGAAGCGGAGGATCATCGGGAACTGGACTTCCTTGCCGTCGTTGGTGCTGCCCGCTAAGACCTTTTGGATGACGGAGTCCACGTCGATCTCCTGCCCCGGCGTCGTCTCGCGGCCATGGGGCTTGGCACAGAGGTGTCCCAGGGAGTTCATCGTGAAGTAGGGCTCGCCCCAGCCGAGGATGTTGTAGAGCTCGCCGTAGTTTTTGGCCATGGTGAGCAAGTGATTGCCTGTCCAAAAACAGTAACCTGTGGTCCTGTTTCCTGAAACTGAAGTTGTGTTACTAGTTACTACGTACCTCAGAGGATATACATATATATTGGGCGAAAATGGTTTAGGTGTTGAACAATTAGAAATGGCGAACAAGGTGCGGTTTGGATAGCATATTAATATTACAGGGTATGTCAGGGGACAGTCAGGTGCATTGGGCATGATCAGCATCATCCGGAGGACGAATAATTTTACAGTGCATTGGGCATTCAGTTTACACAGGATTTAAATTGCTGGTGAAATTTCGGACTCTCCCGAGGTAAACGAATTTACTTTTGTTCAAAAACATTGTTTTTAATAAATTTTACCTTACTTAAAAATAGTTTATGACTACTACCGAAACAGTTTTTATCAACCATATATTTACCGGCGGTTCTATTAGAATCTTTGGTGATAATATATCACTACCGGTCACATCTAGCCTAGACACAAAGGTAATCTCAGCCTAGGTACCACGTGTATCTTACTCATCAACGAAGCAAGGCATCCAATCAAAGCATAAACTAGGTAGTGGACGAGGAACCAGTAAACAACTTAAATATTAATTGAATGCTTAATTAAATAGAGAGGACAAAGTTACCGGATATTATTCCAAGCAGAGATGCATTCGTCGAGCTATAGAGTCGTGGAGAAGCTGATAGCCTTGACTTCTCCGCACTCTCACATGGCCCCTCCTTCTATTTTTCTAAATATGATAATAGTAGAGCAAACATTCACTATTCTAGGCTCTGTTCGGTAGAACTTATTGCTGTTGTGGCTGATTTATAGGCTGATTTGTTGTAAGAGAAAAACACTGTTCTAGGACTAAAAAAGTAGGGCTGATTCTGGCTTATAAGCTCAAGCGAACAAAGCCCTAATCTTTACCTTTTTGTGTGTTTAAGAGAGAGATTAATGGGCTATTTATTGTGATAGGATGTGTCTTAGGAGAGTGGAGATGCTTCCTTGATGCTAGAGAATATTTCTACATGGAGTAGGAGTCAAGTTAAAGCTTCCAAGGAGGTGTCTTGGGGAAATAAAGATGTTTCCTTGATATCAAGGAATATTCCTACATGGAGTAAGAGTCAAGTTGAAGCTTCTCAAGGAGGTGTCTTGGGAGGAATGAAGATGCTTCCTTGATACGAAAATATTCATAGGTAAAGTAGAGTCAAGTTGAAGCTTCCAAGGAGGTATCTTGGGGGTGGATAAAAAAGTTATTTGTAGATAGAGTAGAAGTCAAGTCGAAGCTTCCCAAATGTCCTCCCCATGTTCCACCTAGCCCAAACCGACCTTGGAATGTCAGTGGATAAGTTCTCCATGTGCTGGCTTCATAGGGCTCAAAACCAGAATAAATCGTGTTAACCAGGGAGTGCTAGATGGAAAACAATACGCTAGTAAAAAAACCGCTACAAACCGTCTTCTTCTAAGTGCCACGTAACCCTGGCCGGTCAGGCGGCTCCCACACTCAAGTGCTCCCCTATGCGCATGGGGGGCTCATATGGACCAATCGGTCGGCACCTTGCGCTGTGTCGACTAGTTCCCACCTTGCATGTTGATCAAACAAAAGATTACAAAATAGAACTTGCCTTTAGCTATGTGGTCACCCACACTTGACTACCTACATGTCTATGAAATAGAATCCAAATTTGCTAATGTCAACATTTGGTGAATGGTTTTGAAATTTTAAAAATACATAGTTTACAAACTAAGCATCCAAATTAAATTCGATTACATCATTGTGCTTCTTAAAATAAATCCTTCAAAATAAGACCCACATTGATATATTTAGATAAAGTTTCATTATCGAACATTTATCTTATGAAGTAGCATAGTTTCTTTGAAGGGGCTCATCGACAACTTCAGCCTGAACAACTACTTTCACTAGTACGACTATGTGGACTACACCAAGCATGACTGAGGATTCGATCACGAGCATCGGCCAAGAGGGGCTAGGGGAGCACACTAGAGGACCAACCACTCCGGGGCGTGAAGTCTTTTGTCCGATGCTCGTGAGCGAAGATTTGGAGGCCTCGTAGCAACCTTCGGCCACAACTACTTTGACTACTCCAACCATGACAACTACATCCATTTCTGAAGAGAAGACGCATCATCAAGTGAAGCTCCTGACGTGAAAGCCTGAAGACAAAGGCTCATGCATCAAGAACACCTTAGCTTGGAGACGAAGACCAACGTGCCGAGAAGATACCGGAGGCGAAGGCCTTGGAGACAAAGACCCGTGCATCGAGATGGTCCTAGAGATTAAGACCTGCATGCCGAGCGAAGCTGATGAACCATGTTACAGAAGCAATAGAAGGAGCCAAACCCGAAAGATGAAGACGTCCCGAAGATCAATGCACTTGGAGCTAGAAGCATCAGGAATTAGAACATGTATATGTTAGAGTCATGCACATGCTCTTTTCTTCATGCTCTTTTTCCCACAAGATTTTTGGGATGGAGTTTTTAGTGAGGCACATATGTGTAGGTTGCGAAGGGCAATCCTCGCAACCAGGGTTTGAGTTCTATTGTGCCTCTTCTTGTATGAGCATCTACTAGGTCATGTAGTATCGACCATATGACCTAGCAGTTGAGAGGCTACTTTTGGGGGAAGCCCATATGGTATATGGGCCAACTCCTTCTTGAAGAGGCCCAATAGAAGTTAGTGTAGTGTCTTGTTGTCGGATTGTTTTGCTCTGGCAATATCCAGCAATGTGATCGCGTAGATGGAATTAGATGGCAGCACATGAGACACAAGGATTTATACTGGTTTGGGGCGCAGTGCGCGCTAAACCCTAGTCCAGTGGTGCGGCTGCTCTTGTATTCATATGCTCAATTACAGGGGATGTTGCTCCTAGCTACGAGGTAGATGGAATAGGTGAAAGATGGACCCCGTGCCCAAGGTCCCCACCCTCCTTTATATAGGTAGGAGAGGTAGGGTTACAGGGAGGGCGATTGGGCTAACAGATTGTGTTCCTAGTTTGTTACAACAGATTGATCCTAGCTATCGTCCAGATACACCCGCCTTGGTTTGCCTTGATCTCCATGTTGGTCGACCGCATCAGCTGTTGTGGGCCTCCTCCTTGATGCCTGCTGGGCCGATAGCTTGGCGGTGGTCATATATACGGGCGGTGTAGGTACCTCTAGCCCATATCTATGATAGTAGCCCCCGTAGGACTTAATGATAAGCTAGCATGTAGCTTCAAGCCCTCGGGGTGTCGTAGTCTCCCTTATAAGTTCTACGTACTATGAGTACACAGTAAGCATCTTCGGGTGCCGAAGCTCTGAGCAGTGCACTTGGATATTCCCAAGTATTGGGGAGCCAGTATGTTGCCGCTCGAGTGCTAAGAGCATTTCTCGGGTAGCGAGAATCTTCTTCAAGCATCGAGTGAGGCGGTGGTACACCATACATCATGGAACATTGTTCCCTGGCATCTGTATGTGCTTGGCTCAGGTGGTACACCCCATATCAGGAAATGTAGTTTCCTAGGCGTAGCCCTCGGAACATTGTTAACATCGCGTTCGGGTGGTGTACCCAATAACCAGAGGCGTAGCCTTTAGGAAATCGTAGATGCCATGCTAGGGTAAAAATACCGCTGTACTCGAGAAGTTGGTTCCCAATGTATTCTGGTGTGTAAATAGTGGTTGCATATCATGAAGTCCTAGCCATAAAACAAGAATGAGGAGGGGTAGGTGCACCTCCATCCCTCGCGCGTCACTAAGCCAGTTGATTTTTAGGGTGACCTGTTGCAGGTTGTTTATTAACAAGCACTAAGGGCATCACGTTTTTCTTCGAGACCCATGAAGTAACATGATTCGAATTTTCATGAGCCTCATTAGTGGAAGAGTGAGAACATGGTCTTGGAGCCCTATGGCCAATATAATAGTGTCTTGGGCCAGGCACTACTGTGGGTGAGTAACGAACGCATGAGCAGCTGTCGATAGTTGCGTTTATCACTCTTCGAGATGGTAATGGGTAGAATGAGTGAACGTCCGCTATCACTGAAAGGAAGCGGTAGGACAAAGCTTGACCAGCGGGGGCATGTCACAAAACTCCTTTTCTAGATTCTAGGAGCTCATACTTTGGTTACCACCATGGGCCAACCAATTTTCTAGTTTCCCCAAAGGGGCACACATCCACTGAAATAAGGTACTTCGAGCTTGTCCAGATATTGGGAGATTTACATGACACCGAGTGTCAGATGTTTTAGGATCAGACTGGTGATGCTCCTGAATGCTCCCTCACTCTAGAGGGGCAGGGTCGGTAGCTAATGAATCGCTACTGCTTACACCTGCTGAGGGGGTGAGCCAGGCCGAGTACTCGATCTGAGTGTGGGATCACTTTCCTGCACTGGCTCAGGTGACGGATTTTAGACCTTTTGGTCCCACGACCTCCATGGTTATGTGGATGGGTTTCTTCTCTCTGAAGCAAAAGCATCGGTTTTGATGGCTCGTCTCCCCACGCGTCTATCTCGAAAGCCATGCCTCTCAGAGATCGTGGGGGCATAGCCGGGCCTTAACTCCTCCTTTCGCCTGTGGAGACTACTGGATTCCATCGACCGTGCGCGTCCCTTGCCTATAAAATAGAGGAATAGAGGAGGAGGATTAGTACATCTGCGTAGTAGCCTTTGCACGCACACCTTCCTTTGCTTGTCATATCTTCTGTCGTCATCAGATCTTGCCTTCCCTCCATGGCCAGAGAGAAGCGCTAGCAGGAGGAGCCTGAGGAGGGATATGCCGAGAGGGGTGTGCCTCCCTCTCCTCAGGCCTTCTACCTAGGCTTGATGGGGTTTGGGTAAGGATAGATCTATTGTTCACTTTGTTGGGAAAGGACCTGATACATTTCTTGATGCAGTGGTTTCTCGTTGGCACGCTCGATGCCATGGTCGGCCGCCGTCTGGGAGGCCCTATCACTGTCACATCCCCTGACAACACAGGTCACGCCGCCATCGGGTTTGCCTTCCTCATCCAAC